GGATAGATATCAAGGAATTGGGTGCCCTGCTAGAATTGTGATATGAAAATTATGATACCAAATTGGATGCCTTGGATGCCCTACCATGTAATCCCTTCGTAGCAAATGCAATGCTGATCTGTTTGTCTCACAACTGATCCGTTTGTCTCACAAAGCATGGTGGGTTGTGTCACTGATCAGTAAAATGGGGTTTTACCATGATAAACAAAAGGCGTTGCTATAAATTGAGATATCGTGTGCAAAACTTGAGATATTTTTCTATTGCAGGTTGAGAGTTGGCCGTGCACCTGCTGACAGAAAACCATGCCCCAGGGGGGTTACTCCATTGGAAGAAACAATCAGGAGGTACGGTGATAAATCATCAGACAGTGTGGTCACGCCAGAAATTGGAATGAGTTTTGACTCTCAGGAAAGTGTACGATTTCTGCAACCTTTAATTATTTATGGGAGCTCAAATTTTGTAGTAGATATGGCAAGAGCCGTCTGAATGTCGAACGGATAAAGTGTATGTAGGAAATTGTATGTGGATGCTTCGTCAGTACATATGACACAACAATCGCAAGCACTTACATTTTATTTTAATCCGCTTGATCATTGGCTATGCAACTGTCTTAACTGCAGCTTGTAAATTACTTTTTTTACAGGGGAAGCCTGAGCAGCAAAACAGCCGGTCCTGTCGGTGCAAATGCCCTGCGATGATTAGGCTTCTGAGAGGGTCTGACAATGGATGGTTCATTGCTGACCACTGGGCCAGCCATAGCCATTCATTGTCACTGACATGTGGTGAAAAGGTTCACTATCCATCGCACAAGCACATAGATGTCTACACAAAAGATCCAGTGAAGCAACGTAAGAGGAAATAACGCGAATCTCAACAAGGTGTACAACATAGTAGGAAGCTTCTTCAGTTCATCTCAGCATGTGCCTTTCACGAGGTGGCCACTCCGGGTCCTTTCTGTACTACATTGTAGGAAGCTTCTTCGGTTCCATCGCAGAATGTGCCTTTCACGAGGACGTCACTCCCGATGCATGTGTTTGTGCGATAGTACATGAGGCTGCAATTCGACCGCGAGTCGGATGAGAGCTACCAGGAGAAGAGGATACGGATTCTAAGGAATTTCTTTTAGATTTTTTGTGCCCTCTTCCTAATAGTTGTGGAAGTGTACGTCGTCGAAAAATTCTAATGATGATCTTTCTGTGAGAAATACAGAGCGGAGCAGTCATCAGATCAAATATTGCCATTGAACAACATACAAATAAGGTTTACACCAGGAAAGTGTTTGAACAATTTGGTGAGAACCTTTTCGAGGGTCGGGCTTACCAGGTCAAGAAAATTGAGAAGAAGTACATTGCAAGACACGACGATGTCGAGAAACACGAGAATGGAGTGTGGTTGATTACGAGGTGACCATGTCGAACGATGGCGAGTGGTTCAAGTGTGAATGCGGGCAATTCACCAACATGGGGATGCTTTGTTGCCATGCTTTGAAGGTATTTTTGGATGCCCATTCCTCATCTGTCCATGAAAAATCATACCTTGATTCCAATGTTTCAGGTGATTCACTATGTCGGAGTGAAGGAGATGTTGGAGCAGCACATCCTCAAGAGATGGACAAAAGATGCTAGTGACATCCTGCCCCGACATTTTGGTCACTTCAAAAGAGACCATGTCATGAACAAATCTTTCACCTACCGCACCTCGACTCTCTACCTACACGCTATGGAGCTGGTTAGGCTTGGGGATGCATCCGTCACGATGTATGAACTCGTGTTGGGTCGCTTTAAGGATATGATTGCAGAGGTATCATCTCTAGCTGAAACAAGAGATGGGCTAGGGTTTGAGGATCGACAAGCAGCATAAGCGAATCACAACAACATGGCATCGGCGGGCGCAATTGTCAACATTGAGGGGGGTGGCTGACAACGAGAACAGTTTGCAGCGCTGCTATACACACGACAGTGTGGAGACGATTTGTGTAGGACAGTGCATATCCGTTCGTCCATCCATATCATCAAAGTGTATCAGAGAGCCAGCACTTCCGTCATGCAGGTGTCGTGCAGTCATGCATCGTCTGCAAAGCAGTTTCGAACAGTTTGACCCTTCTTGGTAACTTGGATGCACTTGCTGGACTGTCTACTCCGGTGCCGGGCGATCATGCTTCAGCATAGAATGAAAGGATCTAACCTGAAGATACACGAATACAGATGAACAAGGACTAGATCCATGTCAGTAATGTATTTGTTATGAACCATCATGGAAGCAAATGAGAGAGGAACCACTCAACCGGTCGGGCCACTTTATCATCTCGGTAGTCCTCTGACAACATCCTCGTGAAGCAAAAGCAAACTACTAGTACCTAGTACGTACAGATAATACTCAACTCTCGTTCTGCACGTCTTCTCTCTCTTTCGAGTCGCATGCTTTCCTCTGCACGTCTTCAGCTTTCAGTTGTGCAATGCCATGGGCGTGCAGTAATCGTACTAAGCTAATGAGAGTGTGACCAGTCAATCGATGAGATCAGTGACATGATTTCTTCTGCCACTCATCACGCTGCTTTCAGTTGTGCAATGCGATAGGTGTGCTAGCTCTTCTCCGTTGCCACCCACCATATATACTTCATCCCTTGCTTAGGAGAAGAGATGCACCGATCCTTTCAATTCGGCATGGCCGCCTTCCACCTCCTGTTCCTCTTCCTCGTGCTTGCCTTGTCCTTCAGCGGCAACAGCGCTGTCGCCGCCGTGGTTGACGACCAGCCTCGGCCGCAGCAGGAGGTCTGCATGGCGTCCTCTTCTTCATCCTGCCCAGAAGCCGCCGTCGACGCCAAGGTGCTCAAGGGGGAGGCCAGCGTGATGTACAAGGAGAAGGCCAGCTCGTTCTTCAGGCATGATGGTCGCACCATCAAGGTCGACTTCGTCCTCCCCGCCAGCAACAGCGAAGTCGCCGCTGGTGACGAGGACCTGCAGCTGCGGCAGGAGGCCATGGCGCAGGCCATTACGGTCCTCTCCCGCTACAGCCCAGAGACCACCGAAGAACAGACGCTGAAGCGGGCGATGGGGGTGGTGAACCTCGAGGCCCAACGGTGGAAGCCCATCTTCAGGACGGTCGGCAGGGTGCTGGAGAGCGGCGCCGACGACCGCACCAAGGAGGACGCGTTCGCCCAGGCCAGGGTGCAGCTCAACCGCGACCTCGGCCAAGAAGGTCCCAACGCCCTCAAGCTCGACTTCGGGTATATGTGACATGCATCGCCAGTTCCCCACCTCTGCCTTCCTGTTTCAGCTTTAGCGCGCCCTAGATGTCTGTGGTGTTGTTAGTCATGATGCGCTCCCGTCCGTGCGCTGGGGCTTATCGCAGTTGTCAGAGCGCCACCATTATTTTCCTTCGACTTCGTTCGTGATTGTGTTTGCATTTCCTTAGTCAGCGAGGTGGTTATTTTCTTACTCTCTTCGTTGTCCCTGTCTTTTCCATGAGTAGCAACCATGCATGCCTGATTTGTTCACTAATTCACAGGGAATTTAACTAAAATACAAGCAGAAGTAGTTGCCGTTCCCAAATTTCTACAGAACTGAGATGCTCTATTGGCCTCTCTAAAACAGTTACTAATAACAACATGATAAAAAATGCAACATAAAAAAGAGCACTCTTGGTAAATCGCCGCAGCCGACCCAAGGGAGTTACCACCTTTTTGCATGATGTTATGATCCTATTGCAACCAATTTGTCCTGCAAGAATTAATCCATTTAGGAGACCACGAGCCTGAGCTGTCACGGTAACATCAATAAACCGAATGCCACTACTCCCCGCTTCGTCTAAATGACCATGAATATATCTTATGATTATGCCCGTTCCTCGAGTAATAGAGTCATCATTTAGGGATGCATCCACGTTAAGTTTGACGTAGTACTCCTTGGTCTTTCTCCATCCATGTTGATCAATCCCTGGAGATGGCATCTTTCAACCTCTTGTAATGACCACATACTGATCCATCCAAACGCTTTGTAGCTAAGCTGAAAAATGAATCTTTGTCTTGTTAAACACAAAATCATATTGACAGTTCCAAATATCTCAAAGTAGTGCACAAATTCCCACCCAAATCGCGTCGTAGCATTGCGCTCCACCCTTCTGAACCAGTTAACAAACACATTCGATATGCTAGTCCGCGAAGGAACATTAAAAGACACATGAACAGCACGCCACAAAAGCTTGGCAAGCGGGCAAGCTAGAAACAGATGATGAATTGTTTCCTCTTGGTTACAAAAACAACATTTTTTACAACCTTGCCATCTACACTTAACCAAATTGTCCTTGTTGAGAATCACACCATGTAAATCACTAAATCTTAATCTTTAAAGGGACTTTGGTTTTCCAGATATGTAGGGACCTTATAACAGATCCAATGTTAATCAAGTCTGTGTACAAGGATTTTACAGAGAACACAACCGAAAGAGAGAACGTGGAACTTCCACAATAGTTTATTTATGGCTGCCCGGGATAACGCTAACTTCACAGCCAAAATGCATGTTTAGATGCATAAAGTTAAGTAATATATTGAATCATGTGGGCTCTAAAAGTGACTGAAACAGGCAACGCACTGCCAACTGCGCTTCCTCTAGTTTTTTTTCTTTTCGAAAAGGGGATAACCTGTGGCCGGCCTCTGCATAACACTGGATGTAGCTCATTACTAATTCATGCTACGATTTCGAAAGCAAATGAGAGGGAAACCACCAGTCAACCGGTCACTCATTAACACGTAGGTAATACTAGCTCAATCAAATCCTTGTGAAGCAAAACTTAAAGTTGCACCTGAACCACCCTGTCTTCTCTCTCCACGCGATTGCTGCAGAGGATGGAATCAATGAACCGATACACCATAGTTCCTACAACTTTCGTCCTGGTTTATTGGTCCCTTTTATAGTTTGTGCCAAATTTTGAACAAATAGTTAACTAACAAAATGTTAATGCATTTTAATAAAAATTATATCGTTGGATTTGTATTTGAACATACTTTTCAATGATATAATTTTTGATGACATGCACAAAAAAATTGTTAGTTAAATTTATAGTCAAAATTTGGCACAAAATACAATAGGGACCAATAAATCAGGAGGGAGGTAGTAGTACTCACGTGCCATCCCTGTTACTGGACATCCTGCACGTCTTCTCTCTCCACACCGCCTGCATCAGATCAGATAAGTCACACTACTTGCGCCCGCCACGCGCTTTCACTGCCCCAAACTATTAGTTGTACAATGCGATCGGTGTTGCCACTGCCACCACACCATATACACTTACCTTCCTTGTTTGTCGATCCATTGCCACCATTCATTCAATGGGAGAGATGGACGACCGATCGGTTCGATTCGCCATGGATGTGTTCCTCCTCCTCCTCATGGTTGCTCTCGCCAGCGTCCGCACCAGCGACAAGGCCACCGTGGTGATGAGGTTTGGAGCTCACACCATCACGGTCCACTTCGAAGTTCCGTAACATGCATGCATGCATGCATGCTGGTTTCTTAGTCAAGAGTCAAGACTCCTTAGAATAATGACGCCCCATGGATATGATTATCAGGAATTCAGGATTGTCTGTGTCACCAAGCTCTATTTGCGTCTTCAATGTAGTAGCATTACTTTGTGCTAAAGAATGTTTATGTTACATTTGGAAATGAGGTTAACATGGAAGTTGTGTGCCTCATCGAGGCGAACAACTTTGCTTATTAGTAGCTAATCTGAGTTTGTGTGCGCAATGGGGGGTTTTAGACAAATAAAAAACACAACTCAAGGACTAATTGGTAAGAAAAACACAAATTGTGCCCCGGCCAGTTGCTTAATAAGAAATAATGGCGTGCAGGTCCCATCAGTTATGTGGCTAGGGGAACTTCCCAACCAGGGTCGCCTTTTTGAAATCAGAACTAGTAATTCAACTAACCTTCGCTGATCAATTTCTGAAATTTCGAGCCTATTTTTCTTACCCATTTTAATGTTTTGACAGTTTTTGTAAATCATCCTCTAGTCACTTAACAGTTAACACATGGATCGGCAGGTTGTATTTCTCATTAAGAGATTAATCAGACACAATTCTCTTTTAGTCTCCCAGAGTTGTGTTTCCGCAAATCCCAGCCACAAATTTTTTGTACTCTCGCGCAATTCTTTGTTTATTTAAAGAGAATAGCATTTTCCTCAAAAAGGTTCCATAACTATAGGATTTGGTTGCATAGCAAACATGGACGAAGATGAAGAAAAACATGGGCTCCATGACCGAGCCAGAGCACACAATGCATGCAAAGTCTAAGAGACCAGAACACGGAAGAAGTTCAGTATCTTGGAGGACACAACTAGCACTCATGTTTGTTGCATGGAATAATTGGTAGAAAAGACATGAAGGCTAGGCTACAGGCAAGCACAATCACAACAGGCGTCGACAAGGAAATCGAAGGCTCAGTAAAGTGTGACAGGCCACAGGGAGCAGCAGGACTAACAACACCACAGACAGGGACAGGGCACGCTAAGGCCGAAGGAAAAAAAAACAAAAAAAAAAACAGAGGTGGCGATGTGTCATCTCTGCACGCAGGTCACACGTACTCGAAGTCCATCTTGATGGCATCCGGGCCTTGGCCGAGCTCGCGGTTGAGCTGCGCCTTGGCCGCGGCGAACGCCTCCTCCTTGGTGCAGTCGTCGGCGCCGCTGTGCATCACCTTGTTGACGTTATTGAAGATGGGCTTCCAGTACCGCTGTGCCTCCCGGTTCACCACCGCTACGGCCCGCTTCAGGGTCTCGGCATCCGTGGTCTCCGGGCGGTAGCGAGAAAGGACCTCGATGGCCTGTGACAGGGCTACCTTCCGCAGCTGCACATCGCCGTCGTTGCCCGCCCCCGCGATGGCACCGTTGCTGCCGCTGGCGGCGAGCGCCACAACGAGCAAGACGAGTAGGTGGTGGGAGGCTGCCATGGAAAGTAAGTATACTAGACTAGTGCAGTGCACAACGAGGAAGCTAAGTATATATGGTGGGGTGGCAGTGGCATCAAGAACGCATTGTCCAACTACGACTGGTGGTCAGTTGGAGCATTGCATGATAGCAGCGTGAAAGGGACTGTGGCTGATCAAGGACAGATGGAGCGGCTCTGGCGCCCATGTTCCAACCTGTTATGCCTGCTGCAGCTTTTGCTTCGCGCGGATGTGATAAGATGACCCGGACGGTTTGACTGGTTCTGTGGATCAATAGTTTTTCTCATGTTTGCTTCACAAAGGGTAGCAAGTCTCAACTATGTGGCAAATTTAAGACAAGTAATTTGGGACGGAGGTTATAGATTGGAAGGGTGGCTTGCGGAGTGTTGCCTGTTTGGGTCACTGCTCCAGCTTTATGCATCTAAACATGCACTTTGGGTGTAAAGTTACTGCTAGGGTACTTTGGATACCCTAAAAATAAGGTTAAAGGGAACTGCTAGTAACTAATTTGAAGCAAGGCTCAAGATATGTGACAAATTATTCAGGTGAAGTAAAAAATTGTCCATGGACTTACATTATTATCATACTTTTAAACCCGTTGACAAGAAGGACTTGAAAATTTATCATGTGTGGTTTGAGTCATTTGTGAGCAAGCACTTTCTTGATGGTCTCAACTCTCAACCAGGAATCCGGTCACCGTTGTTAGTGGATGCCCTACTGCTCAAGCTTGTGAGAGGTTGGGCGAGTGGGAGGTTGGAGCTCAAGCACGTGGGTCAGCCTTGGCTCAAGATTCCCCGTCTGGACGGTGAGGAAGGAAGGGAAGATAGATGGTCGGGGATGCCGGCTTGAATCTGGCTGCACGAGCAGCCGGGGCGACGCAGGGACGTGGTGGCTGCGCATGGGCAGCTAGGGCGGCGCGGGTAATTTTGATGGCGGTGCAAGGAATGCAAGAGGTGGTGCTAGGAGCTAGAGCGGCACGGGAAAGCCTTCGACTCGCTGGCTAGGGTCGGAGATAGGTGACCGGGATTGCCGGCTGCTTGAAGAAGGCTACAGCGACGGCACGCTTAGGGCACCGGACGTCAGGACGAGTGGATGAGAAGTGAGGATGAAAGAGAAAATGATGAAAAAAGATAATGCTTCGTCCGATGTGGCAAGTGGGTAGCAAAAAAACAGCGACATGTTAGTAGTCTTTTTCCTCGTTTTTAGTTCTGGAATATGAAGGACCAATTGTAGCCGCAAAAAAGATAAAGGACGAAATGTCTATTTCTTGTAAGCTTGAGAGGCCAAAACATACTTGT